TCACCCATTCTAACTATCTAGTTACCCGTGATCTTATCTAATCACCCATTCTAACTATCTAGTTACCCGTGATCTTATCTAATCACCCATTCTAACTATCTAGTTACCTGTGATCCTATCTAATCACCCATTCCATCTATCTAGTTACCCGTGATCTTATCTAATCACCCATTCCATCTATCTAGTTACCCGTGATCCTATCTAATCACCCATTCCATCTATCTAGTTACCCATGATCTTATATAATCACCCGTTCCATCTATCTAGTTTCCTGTGATCTTATCTAATCACCCATTCCATCTATCTAGTTGCCCGTGATCTTATCTAATCACCCATTCTATCTATCTAGTTACCTGTGATCCTATCTAATCACCCATTCCATCTATCTAGTCACCCGTGATCCTATCTAATCACCCATTCCATCTATCTAGTCACCCGTGATCCTATCTAATCCTCACCCATTCTAACTATCTAGTTGCCTGTGATCTTATCTAATCACCCATTCTATCTATCTAGTTACCCGTGATCTTATCTAATCACCCATTCCATCTATCTAGTTGCCCGTGATCTTATCTAATCACCCATTCTATCTATCTAGTTACCTGTGATCCTATCTAATCACCCATTCCATCTATCTAGTCACCCGTGATCCTATCTAATCACCCATTCCATCTATCTAGTCACCCGTGATCCTATCTAATCCTCACCCATTCTAACTATCTAGTTGCCCGTGATCCTATCTAATCACCCATTCCATCTACCTAGTTACCCGTGACCTTATCTGGACACCCATAGTATATTTTCAGTTACCCGTGATATTATCCGGACATCCGATCCATCTATCTCGGCAGGATCTATCATCGCATCGAACAAATGTCTCGGGGCAGGAACTGAAATAAAAATGCACCAGTTAGTAACTGCACCAATAGTGCAAACGATGCGATACTAGAAATATAGCATTATAATTTTCACACAGCGAGATTTGACACCAATTGTATGATGTTACACAGACGACGACATATACCACGAGGTTGACTATATATAACGGGACACAGCATTACGTAATTTATTGCATATATAAGTATAAGCTGAATTCAAATACACTTTACATTATACAATGGTTATAAGCAAAGAAAGCTGTGTTTGTCCACATGTCGAATGCATGCGAACAAGCGTTTACCCGTGAGCCTTTGCGTTTTAGCGTATGTTGTTATCGTCGCTTGGGACTCAATTCCCACGCGTGCGCAGGTGACGACCCTCTCGCTTTAATATTAATAGTTTTTAAGACGGTTATATACTGTATATACTGTGTGTGCTTGTATGTTAAAAAGAATAGTGAAGAAAAAAGTCCTTATTCGGATATTACGGACGATGATTAGATTATTGCATATGAAATTGCTTAATTTACATTTTCCATCTTAGCACTTGTATCGACCAAAAAGGATAATTCAAGTATCACGTGGTAACAAATGTCCATTACCTGCAGTTGTACAACTATTTTCATTCGATTTATCACCGCATCCCGCGTAGACACCACAATGTTTGATATTAGTAACACAGGTAGCGTCATAACACATCACCATTGCGTCTGGGCAGGCGTTTTCTGTTTATAATAATAGTTAAAATGATTTCACGAAATCAATTACGTTAATCCGGGTTCATTATCTGAACACAGTGTGAGCGCCCTCTCATTTTGTGGACCAAACCACATCCCCGATGTATCGAACACACCGTGAAATAATAGCCTAATGTGGAAACGTACTCATAATTTTTCAGTTTAGTCAGCATAACAATGTGCACTTTTTTATGTACAGACACAGCTTTATAAAATTGACCAAATAATATTCAAAAATGGATATTTCAAAAACAATTCCATAGTAGCTTTGTTTTATCACTTTTTAAAACAAACACAATGCAATAATTAGTTTAATTTCATAATAGAGCATACTTTACCGTAAGTACAATTGCGTTCATCGCTCCAATCACCGCAGTCATTCATTCTATTGCACCATTTGTCTTCCGCGATACAATCACTGTTGTCACAAGTGAATTCTTCTTCAAAACATGGCGCTGTGCGTTCAGACAAAATAAACATAGTAAAATAATGTTTGCATTGGCAGCGCGATTTTCCAGATTTAAAGACACCATACAAACATCGTTTATAAACACAAAAATACGAACTTATATCTACGTTTTATGTAACATGAACTCATATCTACGTTTCAGGTAACATGAACCTATATCTACCTTTCAGGTAACACGAACTCATATCTACGTTTCAGGTGACATAAACTCATATCTACTTTTCATGTAACAACGTCTCTAATAGCCATAATTACCTACCTTTCAGGTAACACCGATGCTCATCCAGAAAATCATGACAGTCCACCACGTGATCACAAACCCAGGATGAAGAGATGTGATGATCTCCATCACAAATTATTCCATGGGATAACGCTATGAACATAAAACAAATCACAGTGACTGATATACTTGTATGATGTAATATTGGGTGGAGAATTAGAAAATTGTGAGTTAATATTTGTCCCCACCTACATGGCAACAAACTTTTTCCCAGTGTGACAGTCAGTACTGTTTTCCACATGTGAAGAGTGATCGCACTTTGTCCCCCATTAGTGTTTCGATTCATTTGGCAACAACTTTACGATTGTTTAGCGCATGTTTTGTCAATAGAAAAGCCTTGAAATAAAAATAAATAATAATGGAGTTTGATATCACATGACTATGTAACCCAGAGATGTCAAGCTTGTTGAAAACAACAGTGAACCTTTGTTCGTCTAAATGACACCATGGGGGTCCCATATGAATGTCAACATTTCAAAACAAATTACTATTCAAATTAGCTATTTTGCGTATTATAACATGTGTAATTTAGCTAATTGCATATCGTATTTAGAAATATCCCATTTTTTTTTTCACATACAATTAGAGAAACAAACATGCTAATGTAGTACAGTTTACCTAGATAACAGACCTGATTTTTCGTAGCTTTTGAAAGTAGAATATAATTCATAAGCTTCTGGCATGTGCGCATGCAAATAGCATGCAGAACGTTTCGTGTCAAACTCCGTAGTTAATCGTTCATTAGTCAACAATATGTGCACTTTGTTTTATCACTATCAGTCTGATTTTTGGTGAAGCGATTACTCAGATTTACAGTAGGGTAAAACTGTCTGACCACTCTATTCTGTGCAATAGAATAATAATTAGTATGGTGGATATGTGCCTTAAGATACTCACTTACCGCAATATATTTCATCTGCGCCATCGGCACAATGATTGTGTCCATCACACACTAATTCAGTGTTTAAGCATTTGCCGTTCTCGCCAGGAAATATGCATTCAAACTGTGGTGGCGAGCATACTGTGAAAATATTTACAGCGAAAATCGGTCTAACTCCCCAATTGTATAGTAACACGGTTTTAAATTAGATAAATGAGCCAAAATAAAGCCATGATATTGATTGACTCAAAGAAAGTTAGACAATGCATCCGATGATTATTATAAACATAGTGGCATTACTCTGAATATAAGAAGTCACATTTGTCGTCTTCCGGAATAGATAAACACAGGTCACACGTTTAACGACAGGTTGTTATTGATACAATATTGTATGGGCTGTACCTTTGACAAGCTTTCAATTATTGTTTTAGTAAATAGTGATTGTGTCGATTATAAAACTTGATATACTCTCGGTGCAACAAAGGCATTTCTTTCATATTTATAAATATTTATAAATTTCACAATTAAAACCGAGACGAGAGGTTCATATTGGCCGATTGAATAACATTGGAGCATTTTATTATGAAGTCGTTGCACACTGTGGTCGTTGATTGGCTGATTTGATTCAACTGCCATTGAAATTTTAAAATATTTATAAAGATGAAGGGAATACTGTTGTTACGCCAAGAGTAAACTATATTTGTAAAGTCTGAATTATGTAATAATAACAGTATTACCCTTTTCACCTCCAGTTCCCACTTTTCGTCATAAATGCACAAAATAGTTTTAATCTGCACTTTCCTTAAGAAGGTTGGAAAATGTACTCAAATTTTGTCTGATGGTTCCAAAATTAGAAGTCATTTCAAGAAATATTGAAAAATATAAGAAAAAAGTGCATACAAATTTGGGCGAGATAGTCTAGTGGCAATAGGGTTGTGGTTGTAAGATACGTATAACGTATATGCAACCCGACCCTATCATTACCAATTTTTATCGAAAAATGTCGAGTAAAGAAATATTGTATAATACTAGTTTGATGTTATTATATATCTATATTATTATATCACTATATGGTTGCCTGCAAACATGAAAACATTTTAATGTGAATACTAGTATATTATTGAACTCTCGTCATGTCACGTGTTGCTGCTAGTCATTAACATATTCAATAACTATTGTTGCTATAGCAGCAACAAGAGTAACGACTGTCTTGTTCTGAACAGTGTTCACGACTCTATTCTGAAATAAAAATGATTTAATATTTGAATAACTGGAACACTTTGCCAAGTTATATTAGTTTTTTTGTACTTGCCACAGTTTTGTTCATCCTGCCCATCATAACAGTCAGCATTGCCATCACACTGCTTATTTAAATCAATACACAATCCAAAGGAGCTTCCTTTCATACATTTTAACTTGATCTTTACCACACGTCCCTAATAACGAAACATCGAACATATAACATGGATATATACACGTATATCACGTTTTTACGTATAATGAATAATTAAGCAAATTACCATAATTACAGCCGTCTTCGTCACTACCATCCGGGCATTGCTTGGCTCCATCACATACCAAATATGATTTCAAGCACGTGACACCATTACTACATATGAAATCTTGTTCTAAGCATGGAACTGAAAAGAAATATACATGGCATTAGCTTTGATGAGTTTAAATTACTCGTTGTGAAAGATTTTGTGGGCTGTGGATTTCTATACAAATGTATGGGCGAAACATTAGGTTGTCTCAAATAAACGGACATAGAGAGTTGCCGGAGTTTGGCCTATGTGCTTACCATAATACGGCAGAATCTCTGTTCCTTCCATAGCTTCTACATGCTGTGCGTGATCACTCGTCAACAATGCAGACTTCCTTACTTTGTTTGTATTACATATCGTCACTGATGGAAACTCCAACATGGTTTCAGAGATCACTTCCTTCTTAACGTTAATCGGATATTCGAAGTACTGGTCGAGGAGCAAATATAACTGTCTAATAAACGCACCTACCGCCACTAGAAATATCACTGACCAGAATATCTTACCGAAGAAGGACTTGGCACCGGCAATACGGAGTACGCCATGTGCCGTGGTGTCCAGTCCAAAGGCATTAATTAACGCACAGTAGTTATCTTTGTTCTCATTGTTCACCATTCTGTTGGTTGGTGGTAGATCTCTTCTTGTATTTTCGATGAAACTGAATGCGACGTTATCCAGACCCAGCATCTTAGAATGCTCATCGTTACTTTTACATTCAGTTTTATTAATACTTGAAACGAAAATAGATTCCCAATAAACAGTACACGGGGAAACGCACACAAGAACATAATACGTACAACAATACACAAGATTGTAGCTATAAGTATAACCAAAGACACTAAATCTTTTTCTAGTGTTTTTGGTATAACACATTGCTGATACGTGGGTTTATTTCACTTTATCTTATTATGGAATATGTCCCAATCAGCAATAAACTATCTCGGCAATTAAATTAAGAATAAAGATCTATCTGATATAGAGATGTGTGTCTAATTGACCCTGATTGCCCTAATTTTATGACACCGAACCTTGTCTTATACCTCATCCTATTTATATTATCCTATTTTTTCTCGGTTTACTCACCACATAATTCTGAATATATACATTGGTACTCAAGTATGTGCATCATACCAGCTATTGTAAATAATCGCATTGTATAATTATGCTGTTATGTTGGTACCAATTATCGCATACAAATAAATATATCTGCCACATATACCAATGTTTTTTTAATTAAGTGCACCGGTGGTATTATCGAAACGTGAAGTAAAGTTGCAGTAAAATGGTCAGGTATCTATAAAAGTCACAGAAAAAGTAGAATTAAAGTAGAACAAAAACATATTGGTAGTTGCTGGGTGTAATTTTCATTCAAGTTTAGAACATATAAATACCATTTTAAATATCATTGCTAAATTTGAAATATAATCAGCCGATACAATGTTTGTGACATTTTCTCCCTGTGACTTTATACTATGGCATTCTTCCTTATGATTTTTCTCCTGTGACTTTTTCCTACATTTTGTATCGAGCTACCTGTGTACATCTTTTATTATAGTGGAATCCGGTACGAGGAATACAAATCAGCGTGTACGAGTAATACACAATGGTACACAAGCATGCTTCTGTTATCAAATCAAATTATGTATTTACAGGAACGTGTTCGTGCACAACCAGCGGCAATTGTGTCACGTGTCCTTGTTTCGTTGTTATACGTGGAGTCAGTTATTATGCTTACGTAACGCCGTTACCGTGACGTTATTAAAAACGTCTAAATAAAGTATTCTAAGTTATCAGTACTGCCAGTAGATTTATCGTCTATTGAATAAACACCCATAATTATGACACATGAATGTTTAAGCGAACAGTGTGAAAATAAGCAAGTCACATCTACTACAAACTATTAGTTTACCGTGAACTATATAATTATATATATAATATATATCTCATATTTGATATCCTAGGGTATTCCTAGCAGCGGTCAGTTCGAAAACAAATTACTAGTATTCCCCAATATAGACCCTATTGGTGAATGGTTTTATGTATACGACTGGGAAATATGATCAGTGTAACACTACTATTCAACTAAGGTAGTGCATTCGCCAAATTATGGAATCGCTGTCCTGTTTGGGGCATGATTACTGTACGGATTGACGACTTACTTTGTTGATTCCATTATGTTTTCATTTGATGATAACTGTCCAAATAAGCGCGACGATCTATGAGAAGCATTTCCTATCATAGTACTGTCCATCTATCGACGATATATTGCATACAACAATAAATGAAACGTAAATGAAATAAACGTTGTAGTTTTTCCCACGTTTTACATGTATATCGCAATGAGTGGACACGGTTATATAGCGAATATAGTCGGTATGTACGCTACATCAGCGTGGCGTATACCCGTATGTATATTACACGTAACACCAACCAATGACGAAGCTGAAGCAGTCTTACGTCATGCGAGCAACGCTTAATTGGCGCCAAACATATAAATTCAATTACGAAACTGCTACTGATACTGTCAGAGACGGCGGCACGACATTTTGCATGGGGTGGGGCCGACAACAAAATTGAAATCTATACTCTCTGAAACGTTACGCAGGAGCATTTTTAGGGGCACATTTTGCTGACACAAAGGGTTTCAGATTGATTAGACCTCCCACCCCGTGCCGCCGCCACTGACTCTCGTGATAAGGAAAACTATAATTGGGAATATGAAATCATACTAGATACAATTTTATCGTTGCATTCGATGCAAAATTTCAGTTTATTTTTAAAACCCTAGTTAATAATAAATATTCCCTCTGTGGATTTAATGGTTCATAACAATGTCACCATGGAAACTATCTAACATTTATCATGAAAAAAATATGTAAATGCTGCGTAAACATTTTTTTTGAATAAACACAATCCACTCTACAATTATTAACATATAGCACA